CAACACGGACAATGGCCGAAGTAGTCCACCATGGGGAGACAGCAGCATGCACGGGCCACACTAATGGAGTGCTGCTGTCCTGCCTCACATGTGTGAAACAAGCACAGCTAAATGGCACCTGCTTGGAACATAGGTAGTAACAATGGGGGCAGGGCAGCAGCAGGGCAGAGCTCCAGCCACCTGTGTTACCTCCCCCCAAGCCACAGCTTTCTCTGAGATGATGGGAGGACCACTGACGTCCATGTCAGACCAATGCTGTGTGGTTCTGGCGAGGCTATGTGGCCAACGCTCAGAATTAAAGCAGTGCTTGGTCCCCAGGCTGTTCACACAACAGGTGTGTCCTGTGGAGGTCTGAAGACCCCAGCAGCTCTCACCTCCTATAGGTCTCTCTCACTTGGCAAAAGGACCAGCGTCAAGGAGTAATGTATAGGATAGCTGAGAAGCTTGACTTTCTGCACTTTTTAGCCTGAGAATGCAAAGAATTCATCCCCTTTTCCTACTAACCAGATCACCCTGACTTGCTCAGTGTTGTGACCATTGTTCTCAGGAAACCTGCCTCTGACTGCACATCCTGACCACTGACTTTTTTCTTCTGCTGAATTTGGTGTAATAAATAGATCTGTTTGTTTACATTTCTTCCTAACCTCATTCCATTGCAAATTTAAATTATTCACACACATACAACTCACACAAATCAGAATGAGGAAAGTACACCAACAGAGAAATTCAGGGCCAGTGAACGCAGTATGCCAGGCCAGGGCCCCAGTGTCTGCAAAGCCACCACACCTGGCACCCCTCGCCCAGATCAGTGAGGGAGGCTTAGGGAGGTCAAGATGCAGGTTGTCCGCAGAGAAAAGCACATGGCAACTGCTCAAGCATTTCCTAGGTCTGAAGGAAATCTCTCACCTGTCTTCCTCCAGGGGACACACATGGTAAAGTGCTTTGCTATTCTAAGGGTCTATGACCACTGAATCAGCTCCTGACTCCCCCAAGCCCCACCTTCCCTGCACACCCTGCATGAGTGCAGTGAGTACCCTCGCACCTGTTAGCCCCCTGCCATGCACTGAGAACACAAGTCACATGCTTCTGAGAAGCAGAAATGTTACACATATCAACATCACTGCAAAATCAAATGAGTGAAACTAAGTGCTATAAAAAGTAAAGGCAGCCCTGGCCAGTTTGGCTCAGTGGTTAGAGAGTCAGTCTGAGGATCAAAGGGTCGTGAGTTTGATTCAGTCAAGGCCATGTACCTGGGTTGCATATTTAATCCCCGGCCCTGGTCGGGGTTGTGCAGGAGGCAGCCAATTGATGTGTCTCTCTTACATCAATGTTTCTCTCTCTCTCTCCCTGCCTCCCATCCACTCTATCTAAAAATCCGTGGAAAAAAATATCCTCGGGTGAGGATTAACAACAACAACAACAAAAAGTAAAAGCTGCCCTGGTCAGGTAGCTTAGTTGGTTGGAGCATCATCCCAACATGCTAAGGTTTCAGGTTTAATCCCAAGTCAGAACACATACAAGAAGCAATCAATGAATATATAAAGTGGAACAACAAATCAATGTTTCTCTCTCCCTTCCTCCCTCTAAAAATCAATAAAAAATAAAAATAAATAAAATAAAAAGTAAAAGCTATACTGAAATTATTACTTATTCAGGTAATGAGAGTATCCAGCCTGGCAGGTGTAGCTCAGTGGTTGAACGTCGACCCATGCACAAAGAGGTCACCAGTTTGATTCCCGGCCAGGTTGTGGGCCAAACCCACAGTGGGGGCATGCAGGAGGCGGTCAATCGATGTTCTCTCTCATTGATGTTTCTATCTCTCTCTCCCTCTCCCTTCCTCTCTTTCTAAAAATCAATAAAGAAAAAAAAAATTTTTTTTTTAAAAGTATCCAAAGACACAAAATGACACTCATAACCAAAACACTTATCTTTCCACTTCGTTGCATCTGTATTTAAATAACAGCTCCTTCCTTAAGGAATATTAATCTACTGACATTATTTTCTTTTCCCATAAAAGTGTCCATGTCTTTAGTAATATATGTGCAAAAGATTTATGAACATTGTATCATCTGACATCTACATTATACCATTACATAGACAATATTAAAGTCCTTTACTTTTCTAGAAATTTCTATTTAAAAATACTTAATTAAAAATATACTATAGCCCTGGCCAGTTTGCTAAGTGGTTATAGCGTTGGCCTGCGGTACAGAGAGACTCGGGTTCAGTTCCCGCTAAGGGCACGTACCTCGGTTGCAGTTTGTCCCGGCCTTGGTTGGGTTGTTCGGGTGGCAGCCACTTGATGTGTCCCTTTTCACATTGATGTTTCTCTCTCTCTCTCTCTCTCTCTCTCTCTCTCTCTCTCTCTCTCTCTCTCTCCCTCCTACTCTATATGAACAAAAAATGGAAAAACGTCCTCGGGTGAGGATTGAAATATATATACTATACCTGCTAGTTATATAGATGTAATTTGTTGGGTAAAAGTCACTGAGGAATCATGTACTTTTCTTACATAAATTTTATTGTAACAAAAGGCTTTAAAAAATACGTATCTATAGCTCTGGGTGGTTTGGCTCAGTGGTTATAGTGTTGGCCTGTGGACCTAAGAGTCTCGGGTTCAGTTCTGGTCAAGGGCATGTATCTTGTTTTCGGTTTGATCCCCCGCCCTGGTGGGGGTTGTGCAGGAGGCAACCAATCTATGTGTCTCTCTCAAATCAATGTTTCTCTCTCTGCCTCTCTCCCTCCCTCCCTCCTACTCTATCTGAAAATCAATGGAAAAATATCCTCGGGTGAGGATTAAAAAAACAACAACAAACTTATCTATAAACACTCAAATATTTTCAGTAAGTCTTAGTCCAAATAAAATGAAAAAAATGTGTGTGAACATGCAACAGACATAGTGTGAAAGTGTGTATCATCACTACACACCGGTAAGACCTCAGGAAAACATGGAGTTCATTGCTATTCTGATGAATATAGGGTTTAAAATGGTACTTAGACTCAAAATACAAGAGAACAAAACTGAACCTCAATTACAAGACACTACCATGGGAGACAAAGGGGAAAAGCTCCAATAATAGGAATTCTCTGTACTTATATTGGAATTTGAACAATCGCTATATTCAAGATACAATACAATTCTAGAGGTGCTGTTGATCTTTTTCTCTCACATTGTCTGGGTTCACAAAGTGACTTTCCGACTAGAATCCTCTGAAAGCAAATGCACCCTCTATCAGACCAAACAAGTCTGTGTTGGAGGAAAACCATGGAGGAGGAGCTATTTTAAGTTTTATAAAGTGACACCATACAGCAAACTGACTGAATCATTTCAAGAGTATTTAATATGGTAAATGGAGTCTTCTCTGCTAACAATGAACATATATTAAATGTTGATGGGAACCCTACTGGTATCATGAGCCTCAGTTTAACTGCATTTGCATCTTACTGCACTGGAAGGGCACCAGCTTCATTACTTCTTGCACTGTAATGATCACTAATGGATTTTACCTGTATTTTAGATTATTTGCTTGAGTTGTTTCTTTTTGTCACAGCTGAAACACAACTGCAAAGAACAGCCAACTCCGATCACTTCTTTTATTTACAGAAGAAGAGTTGTAGCATTGCTGTTGGGCTGCAAGTCTCAGCAATGTCAGTCTAGCATTTCCCCAGGACCATCACCCTACTTTCAAACCACAAGCTGTGCTTGTCAGGGCCAGCACTTCGCAGCACATCTAACTTTGTGTGTCCACAGTGAGGAAGGCCATGCCTTTGTTCCAGCTCCCACTGCGGGAATGCTCCACACCACATCATTCATGACCCTGGGCTTCATGAGAGCAACTCTCAACATCACAATGCTCGCTACAGACAAGTCAGTCACGCATGTCCCAAAGTGTCAAGGAAGGCCCTACAAAATACATGGTTAGTTTCATGAACATATCATCTGAGAAATATAAATTCTCTAGGTAAGTTCTGTGGTAATAAACAACAAGAGGAGGGTTGAGATTACCTTAGGACATAACAGAGGGTACTGTTAGCCTTTTCCTGTGACTGAGATGCATATTTTGGATATTTCTAAGAAACTAAAAGTGCTGAAGCAATCCTGTGCTTTGAGCATGAAATCATAACTTTCCAAGGCAGCAAAAATACCTAACTTATGCCCAGCTGGTATAGCTCAGTAGTTGAGCATCGACCCATGCACCAGGAGGTCGCCGGTTCGATTCCTGATCGGGGCACATGCCCAGATTGTGGGCCCAGTCCCCAGTGCGGGGCATGCAGGAGGCAGACAATCAATGTTCTCTCTCAGTGATGTTTCTATCTCACTCTCCCCCTCCCTTCCTCTCTCTCTCTCTAAAATCGATAAGGAAAAAAAAACCTAACTTACTTCCATTTTTGTGTAGCTGTGATTTTTTTCCGTATGACAGATGATAATAAAGGATGGCTTTCGGAAGTCATTTTATAAAGCAACTACATTACTGGTTACATTTTACTAATTACATTTTTACCTTGGCTCAACCCTGATTCTGTTTTTTTTTTAAATCCTCACTCGAGAATATATTTTTCCATTTATCTTCAGATAGAGTGGGAGGGAAGTAGAGAGGGAGAGAGAAACATCAGTGTGAGAGATACATGGACAGTTCGCTTCCTGCATGACCTGACCAGGGCCGGGGACCGAATCATAACTGAGGTATGTGCACTTGATCGGAATTGAACTCATGACTCTTTGATCTGCGGGCCAATGTTCTCTAACCACTAAGCAAAATGGGCCAGGGCTATTTTTTTACATTTTTTATTTTTATTTTTCTGTCATAGTTTACTTTCAGTATTATTTTGTATTAGTTTCAGGTGTACAATATTGGACGCTCATACACTTTACAAAGTGCCCCCCCCCCCCACGGGTATTTCCAGTACCCACCTGGCACTATACATAGTTATCGAAATATTATAGACTATATTCCTTATGCTGTACTTTACATCCCTGTGACTACTTTGTAATTACCAATAAAAATATAAAATGCTTCACAAATTTGCATGTCATTCTTGCACAGGGACCAAGCTAATCTTCTCTGTTTCATTCCACCTTTAGTGTACGTGCTGCTGAAGTGAGCTCCGGTTCTGTCTTCTATGGCCCTGCCCTTCTACCTGGATTTCATCCATCTTTGTGAGCTGCTACAGGATCATAAAGGTACAGCTATAAGTTGTGTATTTGTGCCTGATTAATGCCACCCCCATTAACGTATCCCTCATTCTTTAGCAACTGAGAAATAAGTCTGTGCTGCTGCCATTTTGAAGATTTCTCTCGTCTTCCTCAATCCTTAAATAGCAGAGAAGTCAAGGAATTGGTAATTTGTGTTAATCAACCTCCCCCTTAACTAAGTAAAAATTCGCAAACCAAAAATAAGATAAGGGAAACCAGCCTCCTCTTCCCCGGGACAGTTCAGAATAAGCCCAACGAAGCCCCACAGCAAGGACTCGGTGTGCAAGCCCTTCTCAAGAACAGAACAGGACACAAGCTGCCCACTCAGCAGCACTCAGAAGCTCTGGGTCTTGCCTAAGAAGGGAAAGCTGTTAAAAAGACCCTTTTGGAGAGAAGGTGGAGATCAGTCCAATGCTCCACATGCCTGTAAAGGGCCTAGGGCTTCCGACCTGGAAACCCTCCTCTGAGTAGTGACCCCTCAAAGCAGCTCCATGGGGAACCTTACCGCGCCGACCACACAGGCCTGGGAGCTCACCCACCTGGTCACAGCCCGCGTTCACCAGCTCCTGCAGCATCTGTCGGTTGACCTCTGCAGCAGCCGGGGGACCCGACTCGTTGGCGAAGGGCAACAAGGAGTATCGGATCTCCCTCAGGGCTTTCTGGTATGGCCCAAACTTTGGAGTGGCTCTTGGCTGCTGCTGCCGGGCAACATCCTTGCCCCCCAGAACCTTGGTATCCAGGGAAGTGTTGCTTGGTCCCACAGGTGACCCTTGAGTGGAAGACTTCGGGGGCTGCTTCAGCCCCTCGCGAATCTCCTGTAGTCGCTGCCGGCTGTTTCCAGAGTAAGTCGTGGCAGGAAAAGTCTTTGGCCTCATTGTCAGTCCAGTTTCCTCTTACCATAAATACAATCTTATTAAAGGGTTTTATTTGTAAAAACTGTGAGCAATATCAGTTAGTTGTAAACATAGTTTCAAAACAATTTCCTTTTAAACATTTTCTTTCCTTCAGTTTCTGTAGTTCCTGCAGAGAACCCAAAAGTCTCCAGAGCCTTCATAGGGAAGATCATTGCTATCTGAAAAAGAGGGTGGAAGACAATGTTCACTTGTGGTTTCACATGTTAACAACACTTTGCAGAAATGGACATTGATCTTTAAAACATTCCACTTGGAAAGACCAAGAAAGAACACATCAACTCTCAGAAACGACAAAAAAAAAAACTGTTCGACTCCGGCTAGAGCACGTGATGTCCGGCTAGACATCCAGGTTCTCCCAAGATGCCTCCTCAACTATGCAATCTGCAATAAAGCCAACCTCCACGAGCTGATACTGACTAATAAATATTCAACTCAAGGCAATAATACTTCATTATAATATAATTTCATTTTGAAATCCACAGCTTAAGTATTTGGGATAAATTTCTTACATGGGGTCTTGAATTTCTGGCTTGTTCCTAATAAGCAATCAACTCCTGGTCCATACCATTGTTCTTTATCCTGGGGCTTCTCCAACTTCTCACCCACCTGAAGCTTTGGTCCTTCTATCTCTTTGGACATTTTTCCTTATAAAATCCTCCCAAATTTCCTGAAAGATACCACAAAACTTATCACACCAAAGGTGTGCTATATTGCAATTGAAAGTAGTTCCAGCACAATTTGTCAGGAGACTTTCTTATAGAAACTGACACTTATATGAGAGGCACGTGGTATTTCCTTAGAATGCACTGAGACCACAGTAAGAACACATTCCGGTTCCAAGCACGATCAGCAGTGCCTTCAGCATCTCCAGCAGCAGGCCCATCTGGCTCAGCAGTTAGAGTGTCCGCACACAGAACAAAGAGTCTCAGGTTCGATTCCAGACAAGGGCACATACCCTGATTTTGCAGTTTGGTCCCCAGCCCTGGTCGGAAATCGTGCGGGAGGCAACCAGTCGATATATCTCTCTCACATTGATGTTTCTCTCTCTCTCTCTCTCTTCTTTCCCTCCCTCCTGCCCACTCTATCTGAAGATAAATGGAAAAAAAATATATCCTCAGGTGAGGAATTAAAAAAAAAAGAAAAGAAAACCAAGACCAACCTCTGACTGCCCTTAGCAGCCAGCAAAGTATCTAGCTCAAGTCACTTATCTAGGTGACCTTGTGCAAGTTATCTAACCTTCCCACCTCCTCCAGGGAGCAGAGGGCAGCACCTGGGAAGGGGCGAGCACTGAGTGAGACGGGGTGTCTCGGCAGTCCTGAGGAGACCGCTGCTCAAATGGCTGCCACTGCCCCTGCCTGAAGCCCACAGGTGGCAAAGGCACAAAGAAAAACTGACCCAGAAAAGAGCGTCTTGTAAAAGGAAAGGATGCAGGGGACTGGGCTTTGTCTCAGGAAGGAATTTTAGAACTATGACATAAAACTGCTTCAGACGGTCTTATGTGGAAAGAAATCAGGACAGCTAGTATTTACCCAGTATTCACTGCGTGCCAGGTTTGTTCTAAGAGCTGTATGTGAACGAATGTATCTAGATCTATGATATACTCGTATACAACAGCAAACCCAAAGAGATGACACTGGAACCACTAGTCCTTTTTAAAGGTGGGAGGATGCAGGGTCATCAGCATCCCCTTCTGAAGGCAGCTGAGAGAAGACTGACTGCATTTACAAAGAAAATACCAGACTGGACACATTTTCAACATGAAACCCATGTTCGAGTGCATGACGTCCACTGCATTAAAATCGTTGAAAGGACCGTTGTAAGGCCATGCAGATAGTAAACGACAGATCCGGGACGGAGTCCCCTGGGTCTGTGTTGGCCAAGGGCCAGAGCCCAGAGCTCTGCCCAACTGGTGTAAACTGGGACATATTGCAACCACAGGTTTCAGTGACTTCCTGGTCTAGGCACTTGCTGTGAAAACCTCTCTTTCTGAAACCCAAGCTCACATCCCAACAGAGCTGGGCCAGGTGCTGCCGCACAGCGGGGACCCTGAGTGCCCAAGATTCAGCACCAGCTATGGCCGTCTCAGCTTTGACTTCTTCAGGGGACTCACACAAATCACTTGTGTGCAGTCTTTCCTGCTCCTCCTTTTCTTTGAAAACTAAAACCCAGAAGAGATCAATCACACTATCTTCACAATAAACAATCAAGGCAAAGAAGGGGCCTGACAATAGCAAAGGTAGTCATACCCACCCCCATCTCTCCCACCCACAGGCTACCTATACTTACCAAATGCCCGAATCTCAGGCACTGCGGGGATAAACAATAAAACCTTGCCTTTAGCAAGTTCAAGGTCAAGTGAGAGGTGAGGGTGCGGTAGGCAAACAAATTTCAAAGAAAAAGAGATGCCTAAAGGGAGAAACAAATCCTGTAACAAATGGGAGAATAGAGGAGAAAGCCAGGAAGCGTTTGGAAGCAGAGATGCCGCCCCTGAGGGCAGGAAGAATGATCTCCAGCCTCAGGGAACAGCACACACAAAGCAGCAGGGGAAGGTGAAATCTGCAGGGCCACCCACCCACCAAAGTTAGATATGCGGGCAAGAGGGTCTCCCTGAAGAGTGCAGGAGGGATGAGAACAGGATGTGCAAGGGGCTGGATCTAGAAGGATTTCCAAGGCCATGTTAATTGCCTGGACCCAGTGCAGAAGATGGGGAACCACTGTTTGCAGCTGAGCTGAAGAGTGACATGGCTAGAGTACCCTTTAGGGAGCTGAGGCTGGAAGCCATAGGGAAGGTGACCTAGCAAGGGCAACCAGAGCACTACAGGTAGGTGACGAAGCCTGGGTGAGAAGCAGCAACCCCTAGGAGCAAGGGGGGTCGGATTCAGGAACTAGTTACACCGTGGCCCAGGGTCTAGGCTTAAAGATCTATAGATGGGAAGCCACCAGCACTTGGGGCATTTACCCAGCTAGTGACCTGCTTACAGAGCCATGAAATGGAGCAAGCAGTTAGGTGAGGGAGGGAGAGCTCCCGTCCCTCCCAACTGGTATCTCTCAGAACAGCAGTCAGTGACCATCAAATGACACCAGCAGACTAAAGAAAAGAAGCTAAGAAAGGGCAAGGGCCACAAGAGATGGCCCAGATCAAAGAAAAAAAGAGCTACGCCCTGGCCGGTTTGGCTCAGCGGTTAGAGCATCGGCCTGCGGTCCAGAGAGACCTGGGTTCGGTTCCCGCTAAGGGCACGTCCCTCGGTTGCAGTTTGTCCCCGGCCCTCGTCGGTTGTGCGGGTGGCAGCCACTCAATGTGCTCCTTTCACGTCGATGTTTCTCTCTCTCTCTCTGTTCCTCTCTCTCCCTCCCACTCTACCTGAACAAAAAAATGGAAAAATGTCCTCGGGTGAGGATAAAAAAAAAAAAAGAGCTACAAGGTAGTCAGAGCCAGACATGGGACATCCTCGCTGCCCGGCCTCACTGGCAGACACCAGGGGAGTTGGGGACAGCAGAGGAAGGAGGACCCAGTTGATTCTGAGGCTTGAATGTGCTCCCTAGAATTCAGTTCAAAAAGGAGCTACTGAAAACTGGGACAGCAGTAAGGCTTGGGGGGAAGGTAGGTGGAATGTATTTAAGTTTAATGTACCTTTTTTGTTGTTTTTCGATTGATTTTAGAGAGAGGAAGGGAGGGAGGGGGCAAGGAAAAGAGAGGGAGAAACATCGATATGCTGTCCCACTTATTTATGCATTCATTAGTTGATTCTTGTATGTGCCCTGACCGGACTGAGCCCCTCAAACTTGGCATGTTAGGACAACACTGGAAACAACTGAAGTAACACACCAGAGCCATACTTTTCTTATTAAGTGCACAAAACATAGATTGACAAATGTTCACAAACAGCACACTCTTACAAACAGCATCTGGGTTGAGGGGTCTATCGGTACAAACCCAGCACCCCACCCTCCGCAGACTGCCGCCTCAAGGAGCCACCCTCATGGCTTCTAACATCAAGGGCTAGTTTGACCACTTCTGAACTTTATATCCATGTAAGTACATGGTCCCACTGGTTTTGTTCAACCCCACGGTTGGTTATTTATACATGCAGTGTGTGGCAATAGTTGGCCATTTTTCATTGCTGAGTAATATTCCATGGTCCAACTATATTATACTTATTTATCCATTCTGCCACAGAAGGACATCTGAGTTGTTCTGGTCTGGGGCTCTGCAAACGGTCTGCTGCCGTAAGGATGCTGATGCCCCCAGCTGTGAGGAGCTGCGTGAGCAGCCAGCTCCCAAACGCTGCTTTACCACCACCACCAAATGCTTTCTGTGCAGTTACTGGCAGAGTCCTGGATGGTTCATGTGGTGCCTTTGTGGGATTATAAAAAGGTACTCCTTCCTCAAGTCAATTGTTTTGCGACTGCATTATTGCACAACAGGAGCAGCTCTTGCCCTGAGGAGCCTTCCTGAGCCCTAGGGGCAGCAACCTGGCCCATTTTCAGACACACCCTGACTCCATGTCACAAGCACACACATGCACATACACCAGGTGCCGTGGAGCGAGTAAAGTCTAAATCAAATGGAAAGTAGGGACTAGGCCTCCTTGGAAGTCACACGGAGGAGTGTGAGCGCACGCGCCCTCCTGGACCTGTGCCGCTGACTCCCTGCTGCTGCCCAGATCTTCTGAGCAGCCCAGAGTCTGCAAGTGGGCTGTGCATGCCCGCACATACATGTCTGTGATGTGAGGCATGGCCCTCCATGCACAGGCCCCTTGAGCAGTACACAACCTGAACACCCAAGGTGGACCTGTTACTAAGTCTTAGGGATACAGAAAACAATGACCAACCTCTGACTTTAAAGAGCTCACAGTTCAAGATGGGGAAGACAGGTACATAAAGCAATTATTTAAGTATAGTATAATACAAATGACAATAAAATTTTGCCCAGAGAATTATGGCGTCTGAAATATAGTAGCAACTGGAGGGTAGAGAAGAAGAGGCGACTCAGTAGTGATTTAGAGGCAGAAGAAGCTGGTGGTGTTCACTAGAGAGAGGGCTTGAAAGATGAAGCCAAAGTTTCTGGCTTAGAAACCAGAGCCGATGATGGTGCCTTCTCTGAGCCATACGACCATCAGAACACTGGGGACCTTCAAGAGAGCAGGCAGAGTGTGGATGGAGGGGGCAGCAGTTGGGAGGTGAAGACAAAGCTGGGGAAGGCTAATTCAGAAGATGGCTGTTTTGGGGGCGGTGGAGAGGGCAGTCCTGGCTGGTTTGGCTCAGCAGTTAGAGCACCAGCCTGAGGACTGAAAGGTCAAGGGTTCGCTTCTTGGTTAAGGGCACATATCTAGGTTGCAGGTTCCATCCCTGGCCCAGGTCAGGGATGTGAGGGAGGCAACCAATCAATTATGTCTCACATAAATGTTTCTCTCTCTCTCTCCTCGCTCCCTTCCACTCTATCTAAAAATAAAATCAATAGAAAAATATCCCCAGGTGAGGAGTAACAACAACAACCAAAAAAAACGAAAGAAAACCTGCTAGAGGCTGGGAGCCTGGCACTGTCAGTAGGTCTGTGTGATCTGGGCTGGCACTGCACCTCCGGAGCTTCTGTCCCCGCTCATGGTCCTGTGCTGACCACGCTTGCTGTTTCA